TATTAAAATCCACATATTTTAAATAAGACAATAAATACAGTAATTACAATTTTTAATAGTGGTTTATTCATTTATTGATGTAAACTTCACACAAAGGAAAAAGTTATTCTGAATTTCATAAAGAAACACATGAAAAAATATTGCTACCCCTCTCTGCCCAAGTATTATTTAAATTATTGTATTCTGTGATGACCTGGTAATATATTTACTTATTTTAGAGATATATATGATAAAAATATAATTTTAAGTTATACTATATTCATGGGTTAAAGTGTTTAATATCAGGGATAGAGTGTATGTAGATATAAAATGGCCTGAAGATTCTGTTTAAGCATGAAACAGACTGTCACTACTGGGTGTTGACCTCAATGTCCACTTGTGTGTTCATATATATATATATATATATATATATATATATATATATATATATAAATTTGGTTTCTACTGTAAGGTTGAAACCAATGTAGCAGAATCAACTGATTTCCTAATTTTAAAGTTTAAAGACCTACATGTTATTTTTTTTTTTATTTTTTTTTTCACATGTGTATACTATTTCCTGGTTTAATTCAACTCTAACCATTAACCTTTTATATATATATATATATATATATATATATATATATATATATATATATATATATATATGTATGAATATTTCACTTCAAGTAAGGTAATATACTACTAAGATGCATGAAAGAGAATAAGAAGTTTTTTAGAATGAAGTGGAAACCCATTCTCAAACAATGGGATACATCTCTACTCCTGTTCAATAAACAAGAAAAGAGTGCAAACCAGGCTATAGGCAAACCTATCTGTTCCTATTAAATATGCCTTAAAAGGATGAGTATCAATGTTGATTATTCATTTTAGTAGAAACTTAGAAATGCTACCAGTGAAATGTTCCAAAGTGAGTAAATCGATTTTAATCCATGTAGTGTAGTCACAAAGAAATACAAATCAATCCCTGATTAATGAAGCTGAATTTCAGCTATTTATAACAAAGACATCATTTCTGAAAAGGACTCTGTTGATTGGATGATAATATTTCTTCCTTTTTTTCATTGGTTCAAAAAGATGACTGACAAAATTCAAATTTCTCTAATCTCTTAGTATATAATTTATATTTGAACTAAAGATAGCATAATGTTGTCTGCCAATGGGTTAAGTAGTCAGTAAGACGGTAAATAAATAATGTATGTTAATAAAAGAAGTTTTATTGGGGAGGATGTGCCTAAAAACTTTGGTTTAGGCATTTTTATTTTTAGGCTACTACAGCTACAGACCTTAAAATTTAAGTATGGTGTATGTTCATGTGAAAAGCAATTTCAATGTTCTTTACAAAGCAATTAAAAGAAATGAACTGCTATTGTAAAAAAAAAAATGAATTTGTAAATAAAGGATAAAGTAGAGAGAAATACAAGGATCAGATGCTTTCCTTATCTTTTGTTGTTTTCTTACTTTGTTTTATTTAATTCTTCTCATTTATTTCAAAGTAGTTGTTAATTTTTCCCCTGCCAAATTGAGCTCATCATATCTAAATGCAGGCCCAGAGAAAGAAATTAAGTTGAATAAATGATTTACTGACTTGTACCATAGGAAAATGTGAAAGTGACTTGAGTTATGTGCTTCCCTTTAAACTTGTATTTCACATAAACACAATTGCTACAAAAAAAATTTGGAAGGTGAAATGACTTCATCAACAAAAGAAAAAAATTGTTAGAAAATTAATTTTTTTTTTATTTCCTGCTGGAATAAAATCAAATATCTGAAATGTTATGGAAACACTGGTGAACTTGACAAATAAGCAAATTATATCTGTTCAAAAATTCCCAAATCTACTGGGTGCCCAGTTAAAAAACAATAAATTCAGAAAGACATAAGACAACTGTTGAAAACTGGTGACAGGAAAAATTCTGCCCATTTTGTCAAATCCTACATCGGATGTTCTTCTTTGAGAAGTACGATAACTTGACACCCAAAATCAGTGAGTTGTTTAGTCATACATGTTATGTAGTGGTTTCACAGTGGAAGCTTGTATTTCACTAAGTCTGTCTTAAAATAGGTTTGACGTACAAAACATTAGGAACTTGATATAATAGGTAATGACACAGCAATCTAGTTGTGGTGGCTGATACTTTAATATCCGACTAACTGTCATCCAACATCGACTGAGTGACCAACTCTCTGAGCAACTCAGCGACTGCTATTACTCCTACTTATTATAGGTGGGAGAGTCTATTAATAGAATAGGTGTGTTCCAGTATAACAATACGAGAAGGGCAGAATGAAAGACAAAAGTTGTCTTCAAATAGCCCTTAAATGACAAGTCACAAGACTGAGGAACAATTATTCAATCATAAAAAAAATCAATCAGAGTTAAGTAATTACGCAGCAGTCAAATGATTATTCAAGATCATGAATATTCAATAAATTTATTCAAGGTTATTGAAGGTTAATTATTCTTGAAAGATAAAAGAGTGATAATAAATTTTCTGCTTTTTTACTGGGCATCCTGTAGTAACATGAGTAACATCTCGTATATATTCACATACATCTTGTGTTTGTGTGATGCCTGTCAATCAGGATAACCTTCAAACTGAACACTTTATTTAATCTATGATTGGTTGTTCTCATTCCACTGATCATGTCTTGGGATATCTTGTGTTGTTTTTAGTACTGCTCAGTCATTGTTGTTTCCACTGAGTCTGTCACTACTGTCTAGCCCAGAGATTGCTCACAATTACTATGTCACCAAATTCACAAACCAGTGCTTTAATCTACTAGGCTATTCTGCGGGACAATCCTGAAGTTAGAAGCTTTAAACCTAATGTTCTTTCTGCCACACTTGACCTCCTTTGTTGCCACAACTCTTTCTTTCTGCTGCTTTATTGTGAAACTTGACTCTTGCCATCATCATTTCTCTCTCTCTGTTAATGGCTCATATGGTATTTATTTCTGTGCTAAACCTACAGAGGAAGACTATAGACTAGCATATATGGATTATGGCCTCATTACATTGAAACACTATTTCTCATAAGATCAAAGTTAAGCAACATCAAGCCTGGCCTACCTAGATGGGTGACAGCTTGGGAATATCAGGTGCTGTAAGTTTGGATGTGCAGGTGGTGTAAAAGCTTGGAGTTGTTAAGTTCTAGTTCCCATTGAGCTCATTATATTGACATGCACAAATACTCTTGGGAAAGGTATGAATTCACCTCTTCTCCTCCCAGCTATGGGTTAATTAGTAAGATTTGTATCCTTATCCCCCCACCAAATTTTTGCAATCTAAAAATATTTTCTGGCTTTAAATAATCTGCAAAAACTAATAAAAAATAGGGAAAAATTTATTTGGAAATAGGCTTACTACCACATCACATTGAAACACCAGTCCCCACATGATCACCAAGGTTAAGCAATATCAAGTCTGGTTAGTATCTAGATAAGTGACAGTTTGAGAATATCAGGTGCTGTAAGTGTGGATGCGCAGGTGAGTTATAATTTAATTTGGATTTGTTACATTCACTTAAGTGCAAATGCCCTTGGGAAAAGTATGATTCCACCACTTCTCTCCCAGCTATGGGTTAATTAGTAAGACATGTATCACTAAAACTGTTATTAAAATAAAATAAAATTGTATACAAAATATTTAGATTTCACTATTAAATAACCCATGAAGGTTGATATGCTGCTAAAGAAAAATCAATCAATCAATATATGCCAATACCTTCAGTCGTTTTACTTCTCCTGTGTTTTTCTTTGTATAGTATTTTTACTTTATTCCACGGGGGTTAGTTCAGTTCAAAATTCACTGAAAGTTACTCAGATCAACAGTCATCTGAAGAAGTCCTAAACTACATGATAATAACAAAAAATATAGGGATATTAATCTGAATGTAAGAAATGAGGAAAATCATATTTCCATCTAGCAGAGTATTCAATATTTTTTATCTAAACACAATCTACTGGTTAAGAGGGGAAGTTCTCTGTATTTGGTGCAATTCAAAGAAATTGTGTTTTTATTAGAAATGGTAAGTTACTGGTCTGTACTATAGTGAGTAAGTGGCTAATTTGAATGATGCATTGGAACAAAAGAACATTTTTTTTCTGGGCAAAGAAGTCTACTGGTTATTTTGCTGTCTGAAAGTTTCTACCATTCATCCATACATTGAATACCGTTGTCATACTTGGCTTAATGCACTTGCTATACACATTGAGATTTTTGACAAAATCTAAAGAAGGATTTGTAACGTAATTGATCAAGAACTTGCATCTTGGCTTCACTCACTTTCTCACCAACATGGCTTGCCTCTGTCTTTTCTCCAAATATTGGCATCTGCTCTGACAAGCTTTTTTCTCTAGCGTCCCAAATACATGATTTTATGCATTCTACTAGATTAACATTTAGGTCCCACCCTTTTACTGTTGAAGTAGCTAAATGCAACCACCACTTCTACTCCAACAGTTTCTGTTCTCACACTTCCCACCAGTGGAACTCTTTTCTGTTTACTTGCTTCCCTGATAAGTACAATCTTCAAAAATTTAAATGCAAATGCCATCTTCTTGAATCCCGTTCATCTTATATCCTTTTCTCAATCCTCCCTATTCTCAGTCTTCCTTTTCACATTCCTTCATTGTAACTAGTGGCATTCCCACTTTGTCTGAGGTGAAACGATTTTAAAAAAAAAAAAGGAAAAATGTGTTTGTCTTTGTTTTGCAAATGATTGTAGAGCCAAAGTTGGATAATTCTTCCATATGTGATATATTCTTCAGACTGTTCACATATAGACTATCTCTTATTTTGGTCTATATCTGTTCAGTATTTCCAACAAAATCCCCCCCCCAAAAGTTGAATCACGCCAGTAACTTTCATCATCTCTTCATATCTATTCCATATTCATGCATGTTATATAAACTTTTCCTATACTTTGAATTGTGATTATAGATTGTTCTACCCTTTTTAGGAAATATAATATTAAAAGAAGATTTTTTTCTCTCTGCAGAAACTCTTTCTACTGTGGTCAATGAAAGGACACCATTATTATCTGGAAGAGATAATCTTCAACCGGATAATGCTTCAACAATTCCTGATGAGTTTCATTCACCAATTGACAGTCCAAATGGTAAGTAATCTTCTTTTTTTTTTCTCTTTTTAATTTATTGGTGCGAAGTACATATAACAGAAAGTTATGTTTATCCATGAAGTCAAAAATTAAGGATATATCTAACCATATCTGAATTTGGGGTCAGAAAAAAAAATCCTATTAAAATTTATTCATTAACATACCTTTCACTATAATCAGTGACCTCTTTCCAACAATTCACAAGCTTCATATTACCAGTTAATAAAAATTACAGTGAAAAATGAACAGACCTATACATCAAAAATAATTTCTGAAATGATTAACGACCTCAACTTTGGAAAATTTTGTAAAAATTGTAATTTTGTGAAATATATGTAAAGTGAATAGTTTATACCTCTTTATGTATTTTATTAACTAGTTCTCCAAGGATGTACAGTAAAACTCCAAATTCTATGGTAATCTGAGTTAAATTTGGAGAATAACAGGATAGTGGAACTGTTTCCAAAGTTGAGGTCGTTAATCATTTCAGAAATTATTTTTGATGTATAGGTCTGTTCATTATCATGATAGAACACTATATCTTTATGATTAATCAAACTGGATGTCTTTTCCATCAAATGCTCTAAATAGTGACATTAGAAGTCTACTATAATTCTTATAATGTAGAGAGCAATTTCCATTTCTTCATGTATTTTATGAACTAGTTTTTCAAGATAGTGCTGTAAACACTGGAATCTGTGGTAAGCAAATGGAGCCAAATTTAGAGAATAAGGAGATGGTAGAACCTTTTCCCCAATATTCAGTCTTTTCAGATGTGATCTTTGCTGTATATTGTTGGGTGAGGGGATATGCATTATGACAGAACACCATGCTTTTATGATCATTCAAATTGAGTTTCTTTTTCTTTAAAGTGGTGTTTAAATTCTCTAACTGCTGACAATAGATTTCTACTGTAATTCTGACAATGACTGCATAGGGCATCTCAGTGTGGTGTAATGGTTAGCAAGCTTGTCTCACTAGAACAATTACAACTGATTAGTGAGTTCAATCCTTCCTAAGTGCTCCATACTTTGGCCACATCTACGCTATGCTTAGAAAATCAGCATAACAATGAATGGATACAGTCCTCCCAAATATTTTCTACTTGAATAGTATTTCATTTCAGATTATGTTCAGCATTGCATGACAGAGGTAATAATCTGAAATCAATGTTATTTACACTATGTACATTGTTCGGACTGTTGTCTTCATCTTTATTCTCATATTCATGATGTTTCGGCCGTTGTATGCTTTGGCCTTCTTCAGGTGATATACATTTTAATTTCAAACCGAACCCTTTATTTAGTCCACTGGGGTAGAGTGTTCTTGTTCTACATGCCATGCCTTTCCTGCATATCTCAGTTTCAGTTATTTCCCTTTAGTAGCTCAACACTCCAAGTTTTTGTTCACCTCTGCTGTGGCCAGGTATTTAACTAACAACTCTTTCAGTCAAGTCACTGGATTACTTCAACCAACACTTTTATCCACTGGGCCATGTGTCCTTTGAAATTCTAATGTATATCACCTGAAGAAGGTCAGAGCATACAACGGCCGAAACATTGTGAATATGACAATAAAGTTGAGGACAACAGTCCAAACAATGTAAATAGTTACAATATCTCATCTCAGAAATAGAGACAGAAGTTAAAATCAATGCTTCAAGTTAGAGGACATTGGCTGTGGTTTGACCTTGAGAGAGATGGGCTTCTATCAGGTCTACTTTCCAAAGACACACTATGTGTGAATGAATTTGCAAAGTGACTCTATGACCATACTTGGTTAGGGGAATTATTAGATGATTTGTCTACTCTCTTTTGTTAAGCCATTGTCGGGTTGGTTTTATATTCTTGTAATAACAATGCTGTTGATCTATGATATCCCAGAAGCTTTCTTCATCTGCATCTCACTAGGAAGTTTATCATCACTTCTCTGTCAAATGTCTAACTTATAACTCCAGTAAACATTCAGCTAGACAAATACAAATATAAAATTTAGTCCACCAGAAAACTCATGTGAATTTTGTCTCCATTTGACCTTTTACTTTATGTAATGTTCCAGTGTGGCAAATTACCTGAAGCTAAATGAGCATGATGCTTTGTGTGTTTTGCATGTAGACGGCCATTTGCAATATGAAAAGTGTGCATACATGAGTGTGATTCTTATAATACCACCAGCTGATGAATATTCATAAGTTCATATGGATTCACCTACAGAGAGACAGTCTGCTGCTAGCAAACATTGAGGAAAGCTTGCAAGTGCCCACAATCTCTGGTGGACTATGCGTTCCACAATTTACAGTGTTGGAACGCGTTAGATTTCTTTTCTCAATGGCAAACTCGTCTTGAAGTTTGTGTTTCTAGTTGTATCATGGAATTGACCCACACACAGAAACATCCCAATTGCTATTGGTAGAAAAGAAATATTTCATCCTTTTTCCATTGTTAAAATGCTCTTTTATTTCAATACAGAAAGGAATCACAAGCTAATCTTTAAGAAGGAAATCTGCTCATATTTATCAGGAATGTTTGTAGTACCTCTCAGTTTGGTTGTGTCAATATCAAAGTGGAATATTTTCTATAAGGAATATTATTATGTTCATTATGAAGTCTCTCTTTTTCTCACTTGCACACATGTGAGGAGGTGCTGAAAATTTTGGGGGAAAGGGATTCCTGGAAGGCTGAGAATTTTTCAATAACCCCATGCATGCATGCATGCATGTATATATATATATATATATATATATATATATATATATATATATATATATATATATATATATATATAACAATATATAATATTTATATATCAAGAAAAGTTTTGTGTAGGAGAGATGTATGGCAAAGTGCAAAAGTTTTTGTGAAATGCATTTCATCCCTTAGGACTTTGTCATACATGTAGCAGCAGTATTTTTCATGCTTAAACACAATTCGATGGCCTGATGATTGTGTTTAAGCATGAAACAGACTGTCAAATCTGGGTGTTGACCTCAATATCCATTTTTTTTATTTATATATGCTCTATCCCTGATATTGACCACTTTAACCTATAATTATAGCATACCTTAAAACTATATTTTTATTATATATATATATATATATATATATATATATATATATATATATAATATTCAATAAATCAATAAAATTTCAATGGACTTATCTTATTGACTGTCAGGGTCAGATATTTGATAGATTCATTGAACATCTGATGAGCATTTTGATGCAACTCTCTGGAGTATTCAATAAAATGGCCATTGAACTTCTCTTGATTTATATTACAGTTCTTATCTACTGAGCCCTTTTGGCAGGAGTTCTGTTGGCCCCACCAAAAATCCTTATCAATTTTCTCATATTTATTTTGACCATTTTTTTTCACATGTATATAATAGTACGTATATATGTGTGAGGGTCATTTTGAATGTAGCACCTATTTTATTATGTTGGTCCATAATCATCTGGTATATGTTATTCTGGGTGACCTATAGGGAATTCTGAATTGAACCCTTTATTTAATCTATGGAGGTAAGCTGTTCTCATTCCACTGCTCATATCTAAATGTCTTCTCTAGTTCTTATTTTCAGTACTGCTCTGTTATTGCTCGCCATTTCCACTGAGTTCAAGTATACACTGCCCAGCTCATGGATTGAACTCACAATTACTATATCACCAGATTCCCAAACCAAAAGTTTAGCCCACAAGGCTATTGTTTGTGGGGAACTTGGAACTTTAAATCTGACATGTCTGCTGATTAGTGCTGTTGCTTGACTGCACTCACTGAAGATTTTCTCTTTTGTTACAGCTGCTGCTGCTATTGAAGCCTTTCTGACATTTATCTTTCTTTAAATTTCAGTTTTAGCTGAAGATCTTAAATTAATTTAAAAGAAATAGATCTAGTTGGTGTTTATCTCTAAAAGTTGTCTCACATTTTCATTACCTTGAATTATATATTTATGTAATGTTTCTCCTCTGCCATCTTGACAACAGACAAAGGCAGGTCGTTCCAGTATCTGGTTGCTGTCAGTGTCTTTCCTTGATATACAAATCATTTCATTTTAACTTGATCAAATCATTTGCAAATAAAATCTAAGGTTTAAGTTAACAACTCTGACCTTGCTATAATAGAAGCAGGAAAATGTTATTCTGTTTTGTTTTTTTTTTCTTTTCCTTTTTTGTTTTTTTTTTTGATGGGGAGGTGTTTTTATTTCAAATATGATCTTCATTTCAAATTAGATGTTTACAATGCTGAGTTTATTTTGCTTGATACCAGATTACATGTTATTCTACAAGCTTTGTCGAAGACATTCCACTTAAAAGCTGTTTAATAATGTTTTCTCATTCAGATTTTCATCTATCATTCCTGTCATTGCTATGTTTTAAATAGATCAACTCTTAAATACTTGAAAAACATGGAATTAAGATTTCTGAGATTTTGTATCAGACATGATGATTAATTCCTAATAGAAATAGTTGTAAAAATTTCAGTTTTCCTATTTGAATTTTCTGATGAATCTTAACTCTTAAGCTAATTTATTGAATAAGTTTCATGACTATAAAATATCTGTAGAAATTCCCCTTTTGCCTCAGTAAATATTTGAGTTTAACAACTTTAAGGAAATATTGCAATAACAATCATAACAAATGCTGGTCATTATTTAATGAATTAAGACAATGCAAATGAAAAGATTAAAAATGAACAAGGTCTTCACTGAAGTAGAGGTTAAACACTTGAGAGTGTTATTACCTCCTCTAGCTTTCTTTCGTCTATCCTTGCAGTGTTTTCTTTACCAATTTCTTTCTTTCTTTCGTCTATCCTTGCAGTGTTTTCTTTACCAATTTCTTTCTTTCTTTCGTCTATCCTTGCAGTGTTTTCTTTACCAATTTCTTTCTTTCTTTCGTCTATCCTTGCAGTGTTTTCTTTACCAATTTCTTTCTTTCTTTCGTCTATCCTTGCATTCATTTCTTATTGAATTCCTTTCTTTCTTCTATCCTTGCAGTCTTTTCTTTGTGAATTTCTTAGATGGGTGACTGGGTACTGTAAGCTTAGATGTGCATATGGTGTAATGGATAATGGTTCAGAATTGTTAAGTTCCAATTCTCGTTGAGTTCATTATATTTACTTATGTGTAAATGCCCTTTGGAAAGGTATGAATTCAGCTCTTCTCCCCCATTTATGGGTTAATTAGTAAGAATTGTATCACTAAATCCTTATTATTCCCCCAACAAAAATTTTTACAATCTAAAAATATTTCTGGCTTTAAATAACCTGCAAAGGGTTGATAAACCATAGAAAATGAATCAATCAATAAAAAATGTTGATGTTGTGAAGTGTTTTCTTTCTTTTTCTCCTTCCTTGTTTAGGGTTTTTTCTTGCCTAAGGTGTTAAGTCTTCTGGCAATTTGTTTCTTGATTACACCAACATAGTTGGTTTTTCTTTAGTATATATATATATATATATATATTAATTAGTACATGTACCTATGTTTTAGAGTGTGACTAAAGTTTCTCTAGATTACTAGCTCAGCATGCACAAGATCTATGTTGTTAAAAACATTTTTTTTTTTAAATTAGAAAAATGTGAGAAGAAAAGTATAAGAAAGAACAATGATTACAAATTTAAAATTTAAAATTAAAGATGCTGCCTTCATGTCGTCAATATAATGTTAATGGTTGAAGGGAAGTAAAAAATGAATAAAAATAAAAAAATAATGACAATAAGGAAAGAAAAGAAATAAAAAAAAAATATGTGGAAATGAAGATGGACATAAGTAAAGTAATTATAATATATGGGAATATAGATTAGTATAATAATGTAAACAGGTTAGGGTGGGGTACGGCAACTATATCCTAATAAAATAAGAGTGTAACAGAGAGGGATTAGAATCAGTCAGGCTTCCAATATTTTAAGATATACGGTCTTTTATGCCTACATGTGATCATTAGCTCAGTCCGTTTATTAAGTAGACCAAAATTGTTAATATTTTTTAATCTTTTCTCTAATAGACATAAATCATATCGTCCCCCTCCCTTACTGGAAAAAGATTTGGTTTGTGCTACAAATTCCCATTTTATATTAGGTGTGTAGTCATTTGTTTTAATACTCAGTAGAATTTAGAGAGTGTTGTGGTGTTTGCATATTTTTTTGTTGTTGAGTGTCATTTCGTGATGGGAAAAACACTTTCCAATTGATAGTGGTGGATCTGAAATAAAATTTGATCTGGTCAGTATGTGTGATGCTAGCCTTATATATAATTCCTTTACACATACATTGACCACTCATGGGGCAGAGATCACAGTTGCAGCAATTGCATGTCTGATCATCAATGTTACCATTTCTTCTAGTGTTGTTTAAGTATTTGTTAAGGATTACATTATTATGCAGAACTAAATATTGTTCTAGGTTTTGGTGCAACTGTAGCTAACTTTAACGTTGTTCTTATTGAGTTTTTTTCAAAAAGGGAATATGATTGAAAGCCTTGTGTACTAACCTGAAAAAGGTTCTATGTTAGTCCTAATGTTACTATTGAAGGGTGGGTTAAACCAAATGATGTTGTATTTTCTATTCTTAGATTTACTATTGTTATTGGTACTAGTGTTGGGAATGTACTTTAGGTCGACATTGTGCTTGCTTTTATGCAATGCATCTACATATTTGGTTTTGTATGCATCGAAGATATGTTTATTGCTGGAGTTGGTAGAGAGGCTATATTGTACAGATCTTTTATCACACACCAAAACGTAGGTACATTTATATGTACTAATTAATATACATCTTTGCTCTGTATATCCATATTGAGCACTATTATGTTTACACCTAATGTATAAATTTGACGATTATTTATTTGCTTTTACGCGCATGCTCACCATATACCCTTGCTTATATCTAACCATTTGATTTATCTATTTTACAACTAATATATATATATATATATATATATATATATATGAATCTATCTTACATCAGAATTTCCATTCTCAATATTTTATAATTACTTCTTTAAGGATTTAGGAAAATATTTTTGTCAGTGTATGTATATGTGTGTGTGTATATATATATATATATATATATATATTTGGCTACTCTTTTGAAATCAATACTGATATTTTTGAGCTAAAACAACTTCCAGTCAATCAATATCACTCAGTCTGCCTTTCTCTCTTATTTACCTTGCTTTAAATATGAGCCAATTACCTCTATATGTTTTTTTCCGTGATATGCACACGTGATTTTCCTACAGCACAATTTCACCTGCAATTAATTGCTGTGACAAGCTTTCACCATCATCATCATCATTCAGCACTTTCTCATTTTTACTAGCACAGAATATTGACTATTATCCCAAACATTGAACTAAAGCATTTCTTGAATGTGAATTAAAAAAAAAAATCTTTGGCATGAAAACTTAAAATACCACCTGCAGTACATAGTCTGTTATCAGTACTAGGCATTTAGTACTACTATTAATAGCTAGTATTTTGTATAAACTAGTCATGTGCAAAAACTTTTTTCTCTAAACAATGGGCCTGTTTTTATATTGGTGAGCAGTAACAATGGAAATTTGGTAAATACATATGAAATGGTTGGAAACTCTTTTATCTCAACAATAGGCATTAAAATTTTTTTTTTATGTTGTTAACTCAATGAGAGTTGACAGTAGATTAAACATTCATTAATCCAGTGGTAATGGTAACACCATCCATTTCCTTATATGGAAACATTCAGCATTAAAATCTTTCTCTTAAAAGAATTTTTCAGGAAAATAGGTTTCTCAAGTCCAGTAGCTGTTATTGCTCTTTTCAGTATTGATAGGTGTTTCCTTCCTAACCATTTTTTTTGGAGTAGTGTGAAATGTCAGCATCTTGATTATGTCATTATTTTTTCTCTTACATATGATATCCATTTTAGTTGTTGCTACTGTTGGTAGTCCTCAAGTGATGTGGTTTCTGTTATTTGGTACAGTTCTTGGTAATTCTATAGCACAATGTTTGAAGAAGGATGATCTTTGCCAAGATCCTCAGGCTTCATCATTTTTAACCATTGATCTTAGAAAGCAGTTGTATACAGTTGACAGTTTAGATATATATCTGATTGGGTTTGACCTTATAAAAAAATGTAAATTTAAGTAACATGATATGCTTTCCTGTATGGCAGTGAATGCTGAACAATCTCCTCAAAGATGAAGAAGGAACTTGAAGCAACAGAAATGTAATTCACAGAAATATGCTGAGAATACCATGGACTGAACATGTGAGCAAATACAAAGTTTTGGAGAAAATGTAAGCAAAAAGGAACCTTAACATGAAGCAGTTGAAATTTCTGGGGCTGTAAAGAGGAAGGAAGGCTTTGAAAACCTGATACTCACAAGACAGACTGAGGGAAAGAGAGACAGAGGAAAGCAGCATGTAACATACTTGATGAGCTTGAGTAAATGGATGGTAGAACAGAGTTTGGGAGAAATAACAAAAAGAGAAAATTTATTAAGAGCTACAAGAGACAGGAAGATGTGGAGGGCTATGGTTGCTTATGTTCTGAAGGGACATGGTACATAAAAGAAGAAGAAGAATACTTTGATTTTTATACTGTTAGATTTTTACATATTTCTTAAGTATTTTGAAATTGAAATTTGCACATGTAGTTATTTACTAAGCAGCACTTACTCTTTGATACAAGGTCACAACAATGGAGCACCCAGTCAGGACTAAACTCACTAATAATGGCCTATAAAACTAGCATAATCACTATATTGGAACCCATGATGGAAAAATGGTCAGTTCCTTGTTCTGCTCCTGGAATGTTCCATCTTTGCAAAAATAAAGTATTGCTGCTATATATGAGCTGGAGCTACACAATCTTCACTTTCCAACAGAGTTTAAAATCCTTTATGCAACTCTGTAAGCAATAATTTATTTTCCACCCTACAACCACTTTCCTACAGATGAAATGCCATAAGTTCTATTACAATTTCTATGGCAAATGTTCATATAAACTACATTCAAGACTCACCATACCTTGTTCGCAAAATCAAATTATTCTCATTCCCTTCAAAATCCTTTAGTAAAAAGGCAGTTCCATTCAGACAGCTTCTTGAGAACCATTACTTTGTGGAAAAGACTCCTGAGAGGATGCTTCCTTGATCACTACAGTCAACTTCTTCAAGTCTATCGTCAACTGTTACCTATCCTATATATCCTCATAATACGCACTTAATTCCTCCTCTTACACCCTTACAGCAATCTCATTCAGTAACCCTCTACTTTGAGTGGCTCTTAGGTCTTGTATTAGGTGTATATTTAGTAAAAAATAATAATAATTCTCTGCAGAGAGTAATGTTTTATCTTCCAAAGTTACATACTACTAACAAATTTGACACCCTCTGTTTAATAGGTTTACTGTAATGCTTACAATTTATGAAGCTTATTCCAGAACAAGTGAATAATGTGTGGGTAGTGCCACAGCTATGTGTTAAAAATGGACTTAGCAAAACAAGTTCAAAGTCTAATCAAGTCTTTTATAGTCACTTTTGGACTAATACCTTTAGAAAAGTTGAAAATCAAAAATGAGATTGGTCAGTAATTAATTCAAACACTACTGAAAGAAGAGAACTGTAGTATAACGCCTTTCACCGCCACCTACACCCAGTGGTGTAACCACGTTTTAGACCTCAGGGTCTTAGAACAACATTTTAACCATGGGGCTAACTCTGCACTGGTCAATGCTGATGCTGGTCCAAGCTGGTTGTTGCTCGCTGGCCACTTCGATCCACATCAAGTGTGCCCATGCTGTTGTCCTGGGTAAGACAATAAACTACATTCACATCCTGGGTAGGATGATAAACTGCATCCAACAGTGAAGCTTCTGATCATGAGCTTTTGAGGAGTGTGGAGCCACCTCTTAGTTGCTGGTGTTCCTGGGTCTGCCCTGGCCGGGGTGTTGGCACCTGCTGTGAGCGGATAGTTACCCTCTCCAAAAACAAGGGGTCAAAACTCTATGAAAGGGTAAAAATGGGTTTTAATACCAGAAATATTTA